TGGTTGTTCATTTTTCTTGATATCCTTATACATAAATCAAATTTTAAGTGAAAAATTTCCGTTCAACTCATCAATTCTCTTCTCAAGAAGGGCTGAAAATAGTGTTGTTGAAATCCAGATCGATCAGACCTAAGTTAAGATGTTTGAGTTCATGATCGACCGATTGATCGATGAAGTGAACAGTGAATAGTGCCAATGTTATAATCTGCTTACTCGGCAAGTTTTTCTCTGCTTATTCTCGCAATACGAATAATGGGAATCTTTCTGGTTGGGGAGGACGAAGACGCATCAACGATACAAGTCAGCGAGTCGGTGGCTGTGGCTGGTGTCGTTTGAGTGGTGGATGATTTTGATGATAATTCGTCATTTTCTTTTGTTGGCTTTACGGCTCTGAAGAAATTCACTTGTTCAATTTTATGAACTCAATCACTTCTATCGTTATTCTATCGTTTTCGTTTTCCATTCCATTCGATGTGAAATGAATCTGTCATGGACTACTCGAAGATATCAAATTTCAAATGATACGGATAGAGGATTGGGCCTCAGTTGAATTATCAATCACCATCGACGGACTAGCGAACGTTCATTGACGAATTCATCAGCTGCCACATGGCATTCACTTTCACTTGGTCTTCAGTCTTGATTACGATACATTTACCTTTCTCGTTTTACTAATCAAATTTAGGAATTTTCAATGTTTGCCTTCATCTCACATCAACTAATCATCAGTCAATCCTATCTATAACAGTCATTAGATAATAAGTGTGCATCTTCGAGGATAGCAGCTCATCTTGATCAACTTCATCAATAGTATATCCGAAATGATCAAGATGATCAATCACTAGATCGATAGGATCAAAGTTAAGCATCGTGAAGTAATCAGAGACCGATGAAGTTAACACTTCGTATCGCACTATGGAAATCTGCTAATTTAGGATCCATCTGAATTTTGACAGTGTTTATCCGTACCATTCAATATTTGATATTAAACACAGGTCCAGAATGGCTTCTCTCATCTGACTTTGGAACACAACAGGAAATGAACATGATGAAGCAACGTTCAGTTCGTAAAGAACGTTCGTTCATCTGATGCAATGACCAGATGTCAAAATATATCACATTAACAATTGCTCCTCAAATCGAAATTGGGTCGAGCACATGAAAACACTCGAATAAACCAGGTAACGAACAATTTTTTAACGGTACGTCCTCGCTTGTTGCCAACAGCAACGGCAGCAGCAGTCTGACGTACCCTACCGCCGCCCTCCATCGATGATCCTATCAAATTATGTATTCGACCGCAGATCGACTCTTATTTATGCTCGTCACTTATGATAATTCCGATTAATTATGGCACAATTTTACAATCACTACATTCAAATTTTGTAAAGTGTATCGATGAATCAATCGAGGTGATAAAATTAATGAATAAATCTCATCGCATTCAAATCAAATTGAATAAGCGCACCGACGTTAAATTCACCAACATTGCGATGTTTCAATTGTACATCATTATCATATATCACCGTTATTGCAGTAGGCGAACTTAAATTACGAATCCTCAAATCTTCTTCACTTGCACCGTCTTATAAAATTCATTTCGTCATTTCATCAGTAAGCATGTGCTCCACAATTGTGACTCTTTACGAACTTACGTTGTTAACACACCATTTTGCACATTAATGAGTTACTTTTCTACTTTCTATGCAGAATTTATGTTTTAGTCTCTGACTTTCCACTATATTGTGTGACCCTTTATTGATAACAACAATGCATGATTGTGGTAAAAGATTCATATGATCATTTATCAACTATACATGCCAAAATATTTTCGAAAGTTTATGTCATCAATTGAGCAATCTCACAACAATAACATCAATATAAACAGATCAGAACAATTAAAAATCACAACTGTAAAACGATTTATAATGATGGCAACAACATTTACAATGATAACAATAATCATTGAAGTAATCGCATTTTTTGTTAATAGTCATAATAATAGCAGTTATTGCAGTAACCCAGCTTATATAGATGATAGCACTGCAGCAGTACGTGAGACTCGCTGTCGGCGACGCTCGGCGAACGACGCTGAAATGAAAATAATCAGAAACAGTTCGTTCGTCAAGTGAATTTTGAAGTAATCAGAGAATGAAATAAACAAAACATTTTGAAGCAATCACAAATACTTACAAGAGTGCGCGTCAATGAATGCAGTGAAGTGCTCGTTGGGTAAATCAGAGATTCGATACGATTTGAGTGTTCTCAATAGAATTATGGTAAGTCGAGAGACGAGCGATTCAACCGATGCCCTTTCATAATCCAAGAAGGATAGCGGTACGAAATGAATATTTTCACATTTTAACTGAAATTTTCACACTTTATCTGGAATCGATCTGACGATTAAAATACCGATTTCAATAAATCACGCGATAAAAGTGGACAAATTGAGGTACAGTAAAACATAAAACATTCGCTGATTTTGGCATCAATTTTAGGTATTTCAAACATTTTGCGCAAAAATCATCCAAAATTGTCACTTGGAAGGGAATCTCACGAAATTTACCGTGAGGTTGGGATCGTGATCATCGATCAGGCATGCTAAATTACGTATCCACTTCAAATCATCCGCTATTCGATTCACCAGAGAAATTTTCTTCGTTTCGATCCAACTCCCATGAATCCATAACGTTGACAACAGTTGTTGCTTAATTTCCGTTGCTTGATCCTCCTAAACTTCTTCAGATCAGCTACAGAGTTCCCATTAAAATATCCTAGATAAGTTTCCAAATGTATTTAGAATTCAACAAAGAAAAAATTACACGACGTCTGAATAAGAACCGAACTTGTAAGAACAATCCAAACAATTTCCAAAAAAAACGAAACGAACCATAAGTGAAAGTTGTAACAGAA